CCTTTGACTCCGTTTTCATTCAGAAAAAGACGTCAAAAAGCAGGAAAATCTGCCTTTTTAAGTCATTTAGACTCAATCCGGAAGAACAGGCCACTTCCCAAGCAAAGTCTAGTCATTAATAATGAATAATGGATATACTGGCTTTGTTTAAACTCGTAAATAAGCAATTTGAGGTTATAATGTTCAATTCTGATTGAACAATGAAAATAAAAAGAAGATTTGCCATCAGTGGGTTTTAGGTTCTTTTATAGCAAAAACTAAACTGAAAGTTAAGGCCTGCTTATTTAAAATTGACACAGTAAAGAATATTGCTGAAAACTAACTTAAAACAAAACCTCTTTAATGGTATTTTCTTTAACAATTGATGATATATTGATCTATTTAATATTTCATGCAGAAAATGTGAAGATCAGTAATGAAATTAAGATTTATTGATTCGTTTTCAGTTTCTTTGAAACTGAATGTGTGCTTAGTGACATGTTTTTACTTTCCGTTTTGTATGAAAAAAAGAAACGCCTTCCTAGTCAAAAGTACAGTTAGTTTCTGCTTTTTTTTTTTTTAAAACAAAGACCCACATTTATCGTCCCAGTTGTGCTCATTAATCCAGATGTTCTTCTTGGAATCTGAATATAAACCTGATCAGTTTAAAACCAGCTGCCAGTTCTCCTGTTTTCACTTTCATTTGCTTGGCAGGGGCAGGAATTCCCCCACAGCCGCCTTCAGAATTCCCCCAAACATCCAGTTTACATTTCAGCTGAATCAAAGAGAAGTAAAAATATTCAAAAAATAACTCCTCTGTGGTCTTTTCCCTGTCCAGAGGTCCTCAGGCTTTAAGGGGTAACAAAAACCAGACCCCCACAGTGGGAAGATGGTGAGATGTTTGTGTTGAAACTCATCAGAAAGCAGGTTATTTAACAGGATCCTGTTGGGTTTTATTGGAATAATGCAGCTGAATATTCAGATGGTGGAAAGAAACACAAAAACAAAGGAATAAAAAAGGATTTTCTGCTCAGGCTGGGCATTTCTCTGTTTTAAAATGTCTCCTTAACTGGTGTAATTCTCACTGACGATCTTTTTAAATCATAAAAATCAGATTTTTATCGGCCGACGACGGGCTGAAACCGCTGGTGTTTGGGGTTTGTTTCCATTTCTGTGTTTTCTGTGTCGTTCCAGGAGCTCGATGACATTCGCAAATCTGGGATGAAGCATTTCCGCAACATTCAGGTGGACGAATCGAATATTCTGACCTGGCAAGGGCTCATTGTTCCTGTGAGTACCGAGCCTGACCTTTGACCCGACGCTCTGTTCCCTCCAGGTCCTCCAGAGCTGCAGACATCTCCCCTTTTTTTTTAAATAAATGTCTCTGCCATTGAGCAGGAACTCGCTGCTGGTCGGTTGTATTGGAGGAAGCAGGTGTAGCTCAGAGGGAACCTCCATCTAACCACTTCTTTGTCCCCAGAAACCGAATCTTTTGGTTAGCGGTTAGCTTTAAAGGTCCACGTTGTAGGAATTCCTTCCTGATGAATTTTGGAATTTAAGAGAAATGAAAAACTGTGTTGGATCATTAGTGTGAACATGTAATTCCTCCTCCAACAAGATGGAGAATTACGTTGCCATGTTAGCTTGTTTTTGTGTTTGTAGCTTAGCATTGCTAGCCTATGTCGTAGCTAGCATTAGCTAACAACAAACAGAGTAATGTTACAGTCTGAATCACAGACTGAAAAGCAGAACTGTGCTAATTAGTAGTGATATATTCTATATCTGTTTATTTTTTAATAAACATGCTTTTTTAAGATATTGTTTAAGTCACGTGAAGGAAAAGGAAGGAAAACGCGTTGTGGATTAACTAGACAGGCAGACTAGTGCTTTGTGTCCCTCTCTGGCATTGTAGTTTTTTAAAATGGCGGATCGCCATGGAAACATCCGTCTTGTGTACATACAGATAGTAAATTCTTCCTTATGAGGAGAAGTCAGATCATGTCAGAGGTCATTTTACTCCAAATGAGGAACATTTAGAAATGAAGAACATGATTTTAGCTAATACAATACTAGCTACTTTAGCTAATATAAATAAAGTACTACACAATGTCCCTTTAAAGGAGATCCTCAGGCTGGTCAAACCACAGAAAGTCCCATTGTGGGGCTGATTTGATCTGATCACTGTAGGAAAATGAGCCGAGTTTATAGTCTGTACAGAACAAAAGCAGAGGGGGGGGTTAGATAGACTCCAAACGGCCTTTAAATGGGACATTGTGTCCTTCTTAACAGCTTGACGCGTATTTCTGAGGTCTCACTGAGACGGATTTGGCTCTGAACACCTGGCTGACCCTGATTCCAGGCTCAGAATCCTCATACAGATGTTTATTTAAATGATTTTTCTGACTGTTCCAGATGTTTCAGACGATCAGACTAATGTGCATTTTGGACAAATGGACTGGTTTGTTATTTAGAGGTAAAAAAACCCTGTTAAAAAAGCTGATGGGTGGATCCAGTGTTTTGGGAGCAGTTTGGTCTGCTCGTCTTTGCAGAATTTGAGAGATTTAGACGCTTTTTAAGGTCAGGCCACAGCTTCTCAGCTGGATTCGGGTCAGGACAAAGTCTGAGCTGCAGCAGCTGCTATTCTGGGCCTTTTTACCTCTGATTTTGCTCCTTTTTAGTTCTATTTTTGCTCCTTTTATTAGCTGCTTTTCGCCCCTTTTAGTTCTGTTGTTGTTAATTTATTTGCTGTTTTTGGCCCTTTTTCAGCACCTCTTAGTACTGATTTTGTACCTTTTTATTTTTTAAAAAAAAACCTTCATTTATCTCTGTCTTTGTCCCTTTTTAGCTTGGTTTATGGGAGCTCTCAGGAGTAGAACAGGAGTTGTGATCCTGTTTTTGCAGGTTTCAGTCTTTAAAGCTGACAAATCTAGGGGTCGTAATCTGTCTGATGCTCAAAGAGGTGTGTGTGTGTGTTTGTGTGTGCTTTTAAAAAAACTAAATAATAAATGTAAATAAATATATAGATTAAAAAAAAAATCCTAAATCATTTTTAAAAGGTGATCACTATTGTTTTATTTGAATAAACAAATGAATTAATTAACTAATAAATTAGACAATTTTTTAATAGTTGATTGCTATCTTTTTTTACTTAAAAGTAAAGAATCGCTAAATGAATTTAACAACATTTAAAAAGTTATCTTTTTTTTCTTTAAATAAAAAATAAAGAAATACATTTTGAAAATAACAATAAAAAAAGGCTCCTGGTATCTTTTTCAGATTAGAACAAAATAAATAAATACTAATTTTTTTAAGTGATTGCTATGGACCCAGGGGACAGAAATAGTAGCTAAATGAATTTAACATTTAAAAAGTGATCATCTTTTTTTTCTTTAAATAAAAAATAAAGAAATACATTTAGAAAATAACAATAAAAAAGGCCACTGTTATGTTTTTCAATTATAAAATTATAAAATAATAATTAATAAATAAATTACAAAATAAATAAATACTTTAAGCGATTGCTATGGACCGGGGTTTTTCTGACTCTGGTTCGGGCCTGAAACTCACCGGTGTTCTGGTTCGGTTCCAGGACTGCGCCCCTTACGATAAAGGAGCCTTCCGGATCGAGATCATCTTCCCGGCGGAGTACCCCTTCAAGCCCCCCAAGATCACCTTCAAGACAAAGATCTACCACCCCAACATCGATGAGAAGGGCCAGGTCTGCCTGCCCATCATCAGCGTGGAGAACTGGAAGCCCGCCACCAGAACCTGCCAAGGTGAGAGCCCTGTGCTAGTATATATATATATATATATACTACCTGTGCTAAAGTTTAAAGTTATTTATCTACTTACTTAGCTGTCAGACTCATGTTGAACAGGGATTTACTCTGATAACAACTTAATG